TTCTTACATTGATGAGCCAAGTGCACCTCCCCCCACCCATGGCACTTTTGATCACCTACTATGCACGGCAAAGCTGGACGATGCATATGAAAAACAAAGGAAAGCTAATGCCTTTGAATTATTGTGCTGGCAAGAGATATCAAATCAACTGTATTATGACATGACAGAACAATAAACAAACTTGTTTGGGAAGCTGTGCATCCAGAATGTTTCTTCAAATGGAGGATGACAAAATGCCCTACCCTGGACATGTTGTCAGGTGGAAACAGACCCTGAGGAACAACGTCATGCTCAGTTGAGAATCACTGAAGAAGAGGAAGACCCTCAATGAGACAGGTTGACACAGTGCCCATAATGAGGTATAATAAAGCGATGGTTGCAAGGAATGTGCAGGACCAGAGAGTGTTGTACTTTGCTTTGTGGTCCTTGGGGTGAGTCACTATGTTGTATATGGCACCTATCAACAAGAAAACAATATGAATTCCATTTCCCAGGCCCCTGAATAAACACATACACTAGCATGAAAACTACCTGTTTGGGATTATCTACATTATGCATTGACTTAATAGTTGTTTATACTTTGAATCTGGTGACCCTAAGTTGTTCAAGCAGCTAAATCACAGACAGTTTCATAGTTCAAGTACACAGAGAAGAAGACAGAACTGATGATCCATTTTTGAAAATCAGCCAACGAATATATGAATGAACATATCTCTACTTGGATACATATTGAATCGCTATGAGTTAGAATAGATTATGGCAAGATTTATCATTGTTAACCTAATTATATTTTAGATTATTTCAGCAGTTAGCATTGTTTAAACCTACAAATTCAATGACTATAAGAGCTATTATGGATTCTGCCATTTTGCCTAGATGCCACATAAATTGGCATTTCCATTACCAACTAAGCCCATAGTTTAAAGTTGATTCCAACACATAGTGATCCTATAGGATCGAATAGAACAGAATTATACAGAATTTCAAAGACTAACTTTTTTCAAAAGCAGACTGCTTGATCTTTCTCCAACGGGGTGGTTAGTAGGTGTAAATATGCCCCTTTCCTATAGCTGCCTAATGTGCCAGTAGGGCTCCTGCAAGTACACTAGTAATCAATGCAATGTATCATGGCTTTACATAAAAAATTTATGATAAGTCTTGCGTGCTTAACATAGGAAGATCTAAAGAAAAAAACAGGAAGATCTTTCAGAAATTGCAAAACATATTCTTATCATGTAGTCACAGAATAGTGGCTAACTGTTCACCATGTTTGCAAAACAGCGGAGTCATGCCTGGTAAGAGTCATGCAGTCTACTGTAAACAAAGTGGTCCGTTTTAACCGACTTGTAGGCTGTAGCCCTGAACACTGCAGAGGCTTGAATTGAGAGCTCCTCTGTTTGAACCGTCCGCTTACTTTTGTTTGACATGTACTTGTTGCACACATAAATAAGTCATTATTCTTTCATACTATGGAAAAATAAATTAAATAGGATGATATGAAAATTGAATGATATAAAACCTAGTGGAAGTTGTGTGTGTATGATTTCCTAATTATTCTTAGAATTTCAGATAGTTTTCTTCTTCCTCTTTGATGAATGTGGTAATAATCAGACTTTTTCTCTTTATATTTCAAACACTTCCCTTTGGTGCATTGTCTTGATACTACATTTACACATTCAGTGGAGTACTTTCTGTATGCAAGTCACACAGTATTTCTCAAGTCAAATCATTGCTATACATGTGCATGTGGCAATATCAGCAGTTCAAATCCACAAACCTCCTCCACTGGAGAAAGTTGAGCCTGGATGCTCTAGAAAAGACGTATAACCTCAGAAAACTACCCAAGGTCACTATGAGTTATAACCAGCTCAGTTGCAGTGGGTGTGGTTTGGGTTTGGGTTTAAATCTGTAATATCAATATCTAGTCAGAAATAATGGAAATATAGATTTTTAATATGCTAAAGTAACAATAATGAAGAAAATTTTTAATATGAAATAAAATAATGTATACTTTGATACTCAAGATATACACATAAATATAACCAAAATTCCAACTTTCAAACCCAACCATTAGTAAAATTGAATAAATTTCACTTTAGGCATCCTCTAAACCAATACAGATAGAACCATAGATAAGATGACATAAGATGACAAAACAAATTTGTTTCATTTAACATGGATTATAACTATTTGCACTAATTTCCAATTAAGTTATTTCATTATTTTCTTTTATTTTTATTAGAAGGAACTGAAGTTAATGTGAAATAAGCTTGAATTCAACAAGTAATAATTACACACACAAAAGAGCCCTGCTAGTGTAGTGCGTTATGCAATGGGCGTAGATAACCACAAGGTCAGCAATTAGACACAGCTGCTCTGTGGGAGAAAAATGAGGCTCTCTACTCTCGCACAGTCTTAGACACAGCCAACAGGAACAGTTCTACTCTGCACTACAGGGCAGCTAAGAGTTCAAATTAACATGGTGGCAATGGGTAATTACCAAACAAATATTTAAAGCATTTTTGCACATCGTTCTAAAGCTAAGATATTATGAAAAACCCAGGAGGGTAATTAAATATAATACTGGTCTTTTTATTCTCATTCTCATATGGACTTACATTGGATAAAATGTTAAAGATTATCATCAGTTCATCTATGTGTTCAACTATTCTTATAAAAGCAGTGAATAAGTAAGTTATCTATTTTGAGCCACAATGTGATTACTTTGTTCCTAAATTTGGAGTTGATTATAAAATACTTAGGATTTCTCTCACTTTGAGACCAGAAAATAAATCTATTATAAGAATAATTGGATTAGTACATAACAGTGGTGGTCTTTTCAGAAGCTTATAAGCAAAAGATTCATCTCAATCTAAAATTTGTTAATTTTTATGATTTTTCTTAATGAAAATTGAGTATATAATCAATGCATAATATTCTATGTAAAATATGTATCTCCATTTATTTTTTAATCAATCCTTGTTCAAATTACCTTTATATTTCTAAAATTTGAACTACTTAAAAACTTTTGAGCAACAACAAAATTCAATTCAATTGGCATATGTCCTGAATTTAAATCAAGCAAATGAAGAGAAGGAATCTTGTATAATAAATTATGTAAATATGAAAAAATAGTTGATAGATAATGTATAAAAACTCATGTAAGCCTTCTAAAATAAATAGAGTGATTTCTCATTCAGCAGGGAGCCAGAGTTTTATTAGCAACAGATCTCACACTGCTAACATATTGAATAACATCAGACAATGTGATAAGATGGCATTGCAAAATGACATCTTGATAACAATCTAAGGCAATAAATTACTCACTGACTTTTTGATAGAACAGAACATATTTTATAATTATGTGATATTTATACATGGAGCAAAAATAAAATTATGAATCTAGATGACAGGAAGGGTCAGCCCCAATATTTCATTAACTAAAAGGCTAACTCTTAATAAATTGCAGTAGCTTGTATTTTATGCTGTTTTTTTAATAGATTAAAAAAAATATTTGACAGTAACAAAAAGTATTGACCACAGTACTTGCATGTATCAACTCCAAAAAATATCATAGCACGAAAACCAATATATTTGGAGTTATACTGGTTTTCTTTTATGAAATAAGGGACACAATCCTCTTATTTGTGTTGAGGTAGTAAGTTTATTGTGCCAACCTGGCTGATAAACACATGTGGGGTTAATTGAAGGGAAGAGGGATAAATGGCTCAATGAGCCTCACCTTTCTAGTTCTCAGGTTTCTTGCTCTCTGTTAGTCAGACCAGGGTGCAGCTGCCTTAGCCAGTTACCTCCTTCAGCTGGCAAGGCTCACTTCCTGCAAAACATCCAAGAAGAAGCCGCATGGACCTACCCTGATGCTGCCCTGGGTGCTGGAGCAGCTGCGTGGAGACCCCCACCAGTGCTGAGATGCTTACACATTCACTAATTTGGTTTTCCTCCTGCAGTCAGTCTCATAGTGTGTCTTGTGGAGGAGGACTTTGTGGATTGGTGTCAGACATAGGGGTTAATGTTGGACTTGTGGGTTAGGGCAGCTTTGAGTTGGGATGTTTTCTTTATGTGCGCTTAACCTTTATATAAAACTTTCTCTTATACATGAGTTTCTGTGGATTTGTTTCTCTAAAGTACCCAGACTATCACAGTTGTAGATAAAGAAGCACGTGGAGTCTTTGGCAGTTTCCTATTGATGAATCACAGTGTAAACTATTGGAATTTTGGAGTAAAGTCCTGCCATCCTCTGCAGACAACTACTACCCCTTTGAAAAACAGCTGTTGGCCTGTTACTGGCCTGGGTGGAGACTGAACACCTCACCATGGGCCAACAAGTCACCATGAGGCCTGAGCTGCCCATCACAAAGGGTCATAAAGTTGGCCATGCACAGCAACACTCCATTGTTAAATGGAAGTGGTATATACGAGACTGGGCAAGAGCAGGACCTGAAGGGACAAGTAAGCTGCATGAAGGTGTGGCCCCAATGTCCATAGTCTCCACTCCTGTCACATTACCTCCTTTCTCCCAGTCTGCACCTATGGCCTCCTGGGGAGTTCCCTATGATTATATAACTGAAGAACAGAAATGTCATGCTTGGTTTAATGGATGGTTTTCCATGATATGCAGATGTCACTCTTAAGTGGACAGCACCAGGACTACAGCCCCTTTCTGGGAGCTCCCTAAAGGACAGTGGTGAAGGGAAATCTTCCCAAAGGACAGAACTTTGAGCACTGCACCTGGCCGTTCAGTTTGCCAGCAAGGAAAAATAGCCAGATAAGAGATTGTATACTGATTCATGGACTGTGGCTAATGGCTTGGCTGGATGGTCAGGGAATTGGAGGGAACATGATTGGAACATTGATGATCAGGAGGCGTGGAGGAGAAGTATGTGGATAGACCTCTCTGGATCGGCCAATAAAGTAAAGATAATCATGTCTCATGTGAACACCCACCAAAGGCTCTGAAAGGGAGGACTTTAACAATCAAGTGGATACTTACCTGAGAAGGGAGATACCATGATCACGGAGGTGGTTTCCCCAGGGTGAAGCTTATCCATTGCACTCTGGATGTGCTGATCTTTGCGATTTCCCCAAATGTGAAAAACTCAACTGCATAATTTATGATAGTGGGGGACTGCGTTCGTGCTCTCCCCTGTAAAAAAAAAAAAGAAAGAAAGGATCGAGTGGATAAGATGACACGCACTCTGGTGATTGGTCCTCCTCTTTCCTCTGCCACTCCTGTCATCACCCAATGGGCACATGAACAAAGTGGACATGGTGGCAGGATGGAGGTTATACATGGGTGCAACAACATGGACTTCCACTCACCATGGCTGACTTGGTCACTGACACTGCTTAGTGCCCCATTTGCCAACAGCAGAAACCAACATTAAGTCCAAGATATGGGACCATTCCTCGGGGAGATCAACCGGCAACTTGGTAGCAGGTTGATTAAATAAGACCTCTTCTGTCACAGAGGGGGCAGCATTTTGTTTTTATTGGAATAGACACCTACTCTGGATATGGATTTTCCTTCCCTGCACGCGATGCTTCTGCCAAAACTACCATTCATGGACTTACAGAATGCCTCATCCATCGGCATGGCATCCCATATAGCATTGCTTCAGATCAAGGAACTCACTTCACAGCAAATGAAGTGCAGCAATGGGCCCATGCCCATGGAATCCACTGGTCAAATTGTGTTCCTAATCATCCTGAAGCAGCTGGCTTGACAGAATGGTGGAATGGCCTCCTAAAGACACAATTATGCCACCAGCTAGGTGGGAACAACTTGCAGGGCTGGAGCAACGTTCTCCAGGAAGCTGTATGTGCTCTAAAGCAGCAGCCAAAATATGGTGCTGTGTCACCAACAGCTAGAATTCATGGATCTAGGAACCAAGGGGTGGACACTGGCACGACACTACTCACTATTACTCCTAGTGGTCCACTTGCAGCATTTTTCCTTCCTGTCCCAGCAGCCCTATGCGCTTCAGGCCTGGAGATCCTAGTCCTGAAGGAAGGAACTCTCCCACATGGAAACAACATGGATTCCACTGAACTGGCAGCTGAAATGCACCCTGGCCACTTTGGGCTTCTCATGACTTTGGATCAACAAGTCAAGAATGGTGCCACTGTACTGAGTGGTGTGATTGGTCCTACTTACCAAAGAGAATGGGACTGGTGCTACATAATGGAGGCAAAGAAGAATATGTCTGGAACACAGGCATTCCCATAGGCCATCTCTTAGAAATACCATGCCCTGTGATTAAAGTAAATGGCAAGTTACAACAACCCAATCCTGACAGGATGTCTAATGACCCAGACCCCTCGGGAATGAAGGTCTGGGTCATCCTACCAGGCTTAAAAAATAGACAGCCAGCTGAAAGGGGCTTGCTGAGGGCAAAGGTAATACAGAATGGGTAGTAGAAGAAGGTAGTTCTACCTATTAATTATGACCACGTGATCAATTTCAAAAGAGAGGTTTGTAATTGTCAGTTTATTTTCTTTATATGTGCTTATTGAATATCTTTTCTGCTTTCTTGTATGATGTATCAGATACTGTTGGACTCAGTGTGTTTTCATCTATATGTATGATAGATGTTTGATGTTAAGAGAAGTGTGACTTCATTAATGTCTAAAAATTATATGTAGTCAAAGAATTGTGTATAGGTGCCAAATTGGCAAGGGTTAGATTGTGAAAGTTAGGTTTATTGTTACCATCTGGCCAATGAACACATGTGGGATTAATTGAAGTGCAGTTTCATTGAAGGGCAGAGAGATAAATGGCTCAGAGAGCCTGTATTCCTTGTCTCTTGCTCTTTGATGATCGGACCAGTGTGTGACTGCCTTAGCTGGTTCTCTGCCACAACTTGTGGCATACACTAACTGTGTGACACCCAACCCATTGACTGTGTCACTGTAGTTTGAGGTTCCTTCAAGATCTTCTTCCCTAGGTTCCTGGAGTATACAACACTTGAACTGGGGACCGTCAGACCCTGACATCTGGATGACTGTGGTGACCTGCCTGCCTATTTGCTGCCTGTGGCCAGATTGCCCGAATTGCTCTACAGAAGACTCAGCTGTCTGCTTCCTTGACTTGTACCCACTGGTCCTCAAGACTTGAAGGACTGCCAGTGTATTAGCTTTCTCATGGAAGAGAGTTACACTGAGCCATTTGTACTGTTCTATAGACTAATAAGCTGTTTATTTCTTATGTTATATATCTATCTATCTATGTAAATATATATAAAATCACAATTGTCCTGGTCTAGTTTATGTAGCGAACCCTATCTAACATATAGGGTGAGTTGGCTTTACTATTTGGTCACATAGAAAGTTTTCCAAACAAATATACAATAATCAAGAATCAAATTTAGGAGGGAAGCAAGTAATGCAGAATCAGGTTAGGAATAAGATATGACACGGGCAAATTGAAGAGTCTTCTCTTTATGAGTATATGATATTGTTGTGGGTAATTGCTATTCAAGCAATTCTGACTCAAGAGAATGTGTATAAGTAAGAAAAGACCTTTTTTTTTAAAAAAAAATGGGGTGTCTATAATAATGGAAGAAAACAGCTATTCACGTAGGCACATTTAATACTAAAAGTTTCTGAACAAATTCCTGCATATGCTCACACCCGAGTATGCAATAATATTTATTCTGTTTGAAACTATTCTAGTATTCTACATGACTTGGGGAAAAATTTAAATCTGTTTCTTACACTCCTCATATCTAAAATGAGCTTACCAATATCACTAAAAAGGATGATGAAGTATAATCAGAAGACAACTTGATGGGGATATAGTGTGCTATTTTTAATCTCTCAAAAAGTTAAGATTACTAAATGTATCATCATTATGAATTCCGTATAATAAGATCTAAAATGTGGTCTTCTATATCTAAGCACATGCTCAACATATAAAATAAAAAATAAGTATCATACCTCCACCCAAGTCTCAAAAAAATAAAATTGTGTGCTATGATACCAAATATATACCTACATTATAATCACTGTTTTATGAATTTTATTTTTACCAATGTTCTGTTCTAAATCAAACTGCACTTTGGATAAGAAAACAGGAGAGCAGAAGAGGGCACCCAGGTAAGCAGCCCATGTGGGGAGCTCTGTGGCTATCAGTGAGCCCCGTGTCCAGGAGGACAAGTGGGAGGATCCTGGTAAGTAAAAAGACTCCCATGGCAACCTGGATTTCTTTCTCTGTTCAGAAAGTGACCCTTCCCACATCTGCCTTGCCCCAGAGCCTTGGAGATCTGTGAGCTGATCCCAGGGATTTTCTAACCCGTGCTGGCTGTGCTGCTTCTGCATGCTGCTGTGGTCACCCCCCACTGATTAGCCCCGCCACCCCATGGCATGGAGCCACAGGAGCTGGACGGCTGCCCTATTGAGTTAGCCACAGCCACCGCAGGACTACGATACAGCAGCTGTCTACCTTCAACATTCCCCTAGGGGAGCTACAAACTGCGGTTTCCTTTTCTCCCTTCTCTCCCTATCACTTCTCTCTCCACATGATGGTGTGGTCCCTCCCACCACCCACCCAAAGCCACAGGGGCCGACCTGCAGTCCACCTGCAGTAAGTTTGGTTACCTCTGGCTGTGGGGGCCCGCTACACCATTGCCTAAGACCTCTTCCACCCCTCCAGCAGCTTCGTCTACTGTGCTTGCCCACAGGGCTCAGCATCTGCCAAGTCCCAGGCAGGGCCTCTCCGGCCAGCTGCTCTGAGAGTGCATCTTTGGTCAAGAAGGCATCCTTCTCCCACATCTAGCCTTGCTCTGAACCTAGGGGATCAGCAACCAGCTCCCTGGGGCTCCCTGGCCTACGCTGGCCATATTACCTCAGGCCCAAACCCAGCCACCGCCCACTGATTGGACTCCTCCAGCCTTATTGCTGCACCCAGAGTGCCTTCCCCAAACCACTCACAAGAGCAGCAGCCTATCGCATGATGGTGTGGTTAGTACCTGGCACCTGCACCCTGTGGAGGCGTTCCCCCAGCACCTGCACCAGTGGCAGTGGCGTTGTTCCCACTTTTCCTCAGCACCCCTCCCATGGTGGTGAGGTCTCCCCCTCCGATGTCATCTTTTAGACATCTCTTTTTTTTTTTAAAGGCTGCAAATCATTGCCAGACAGACCAGACCAACTTGGCCCAGGGGCATAAACACAGTCACTAGCCAAACTCCAGTCTCTGAGGCCTCTCTTCACCATTGGTCATGGAGTTGCCACAGCACCCCGTCTACACAGCAGTACAGCTCACTGTCATAGTATCCTACAGGCAGCTCTCTCAAGCACCCTGATGAGTCACATAGACAATGAGTGCAGGACCTCTTGGTCTCCCAGAAACTTTTTGCCCAGCTCTATAAAATCATCATGTAAACAACAGCATACCACACCATTCCCAACAAGAAAGACAAATTACAACAACAGAGCTAATGATGATCATAGAAGAATCAGATGTGGATCTGCCACAAAAAGACATGTTCAGAAGGCTGCTTGGGAGCAATACAGGAGATTGAGGGAAGCAATGCAGAATAAGGACACAGTGATAGAAGAGATGAAGTCAATGATAGAGGGGATGAAGTCCACGCACTAAAGAGAAAAAAGGAGCTAATGGATGAAGTAACAGAAGCTAAACGCAAAATCATGGATCTCATACACAGACTAAAATAGGTTGAGGCAGACCTCAGCAAACGAAAAGGACAGTCAAACAAGATAATAAAATTTTTGGAAGAAAACCTGAGATAATGACAGATGCTATGAATAGGAACTATATTCTAATAATTGGTCTACTGGAACAAGACACAAGGAAGAATTTTAATGCTATATTAGCAAGGGAATTTCTGGAAGTAAACTTTCCAACCTTAATGATTGAGAATCAGATATTCATGCAGGAAGCAGAGAGGACACCAATTAGACTAAACCCCAGGAAGAACTCACCAAGGCATATAATAGTTAAATAATCCAACTTTGAGGAAAAAGAGAAAATTTTAACAGCAGCAAGAGAAAGGAAGACAGTTAAAGCAAGGTGTTCTGGTAAAAATATGCTCAGATCTATAAGTAGAAACCATAAAGAGGAGGAAAGAGTGGAGTAACGTCTTCCAAAAGCTGGAAGAAAAAAATTCCTGCCCAAGAATCTTCTACCCT